AATGAAAATAATGACAATAGATAGTCTTGCTCACTTTTGGATGCTTCTATTTCGGACATAAATGCAAATTTACATAATTCAATGAAACGCTTCCAGAGACATGAAATAATCTGTTAATCTCAATTTCTATAGAAAAACTGTCTGTGACAGTATTAGTATTTTTGCATAATCTGTATTAAACATTTCCTATTTTACAATGCATCGATATTTAATGCAAAATGGAAACTGAGGTTAATTTCGATTTTTCCTGAAAATTTCTGATCTTTGACCGATTCGATCTTTTCATATAAAAGATCAATATTTTCGTTCAGAATTCAGTCGACTGTCACAAACTGCTTTCCTCCTCACCAAATTCATTTCTACAGTTTCTTCTACTCATTTCATAGTATTGATTAATATCGTAGCTAAAACAAAAGGTAATTATAGACCTTATCCGTCACTGAAGCAACCGAATTTGGGCCTAAATCTCGTACATATTACTAATCGTTTACCGTCGCTATTCATAAAAAGAAACATGCAATAATGTAGCGCAATGAAAAAATTTGTTTTACAAATTACACGGGGGAAAATTGCATCGTCTAGCAAGGAGATTTATTACACGTCTATAATAATAAAAAATCCGGCAAATTCGTAGGATTATTCAAATCATTGAGTGTATTTTTCATATTTACAGCTTCTGATAGCAATGGATTTTAAATATCTTGCTATCCTTACATTCGTCGTGATATCATTCGATGTTACATCAGCAACAGGTTGACTTTTTGAATTTTCAAATTTTATATTTAAATGAACAACTTTAACGTGGTTCACTATACATAATTGGGAAATTTAAATGAATTTGGATTTTCTGTTTAAATATCTGAAAAACAAGAACTTTATGATGAGATGAGGAAGGACCCAGCCCTCATAAAAAAAAAGGAAAATTGAAACTAAATTTCGTTGTCCCAAAGATGAAGTAACCTTTGTCTTTGGACTAGTGGGAGATCAAATTGCTGGTTATTTATCCGACGAAAATCTAAAAAATGCCAGCAAGTTAACACTTTTCTTTCATTTACATATTATCACGCTATAGATATTTCATAAGGGGAAGAATCATGCCCGCCATATTTTATGATTTCAATTACTAGTAACTGTAGGAAATAAGGAAAATTGAAATGAGTTAATGAGTTAAAATGAAACGATTAGTAATACTAATAATATCATCTTACAGGAAAATCTCCATGATGTCTGAATGTGCAAACTATGAGTTAAACCGTCGATATCAAATGCGCATTGCCGGGATGGTAAAAAGGGACCCAGCGCTCATAAAAAAAAAGATTGAAATTAAATCTCAGTATGCCAACGATAAACCAGCCTTTGCTTTTGAACAAACGGGAGATCGAATTGCTGGTTACTTACCTAACGAAAATTTGAAAAATCTCAGCAAGTTAGCACTTTTTGTCGAAAAAACTCCGAAAGTCGTAATGCGAATTTTCTGTTGGATTACCGAAATTAAAGCTATGTTCAAATAAAATTTCCACAATATCCAACAGACGGGTTGACGAAATCTTGTAAATAAAATTAAAGCAATGAGGAGGATATAAGCTAATAATGGACAGCGTAAAACAAAAATGTCTCAGTATCTACACCATGGACAATGATATCATCGTACCTACACAATGGACAATGCCAAAGGCTAGCCATACCTCCATAATAACCCCGATTGAGCTTACAAAACTCCTCCTTAATCCATAAA